ATCGTTCGCCCGTGGCTGGCAACCGCCCGTATGCGTTGAAGTGGAATCCCATCGAAGCATGGCAGTTGGGTTTCTGTTGTTCGCACGCTGATGTGATTTTGCGCGTGTGCGCGTGGCCATGCTGTCATGTGACCTCACGCGCCTTGATGAGGCTTAACGCGACCCCTTGCAGGGAACCCTTCCTTAGCCAACCATCTGGAGGGGGTGCTCAATTTTTGGTAGCTCTACCCACTTGGTTCTTATGACCCTCGCATCCACATTGGGTCCTGGGGATCCGGTAGGTTCCATGTTCGCGGAGCTTGGATGCATGTGGCTTAGCCCTCGTCTGCAGGTCCTCACATCCCTTTGGAGGCACCTGACCAGGAGTTTGTGAGACAATAATCATGAGTGCGATTAGCACTTTTAAACACCGGCCTTCTATTCTGGATTTAGGAAACAAAGACACACCTGCCCAAATTAGTTCGCAACGTTACTTCCGTTGGTCTCGAACTACATGAGCAGAACCTGTTCCAAATAGAATCGACCTTTCGACCTCTGGTGCCCCCAGTGCTTCATGTTGAGCACAGTTCAGGTCCTTGCAAAGATGGAGCAAAATGGCCCACTGGGTGCGAGAGATCCATTGAGCGCCAGCCTCAGGTCGCAGACATGGACGAGGGCCGCCTTTCTGCCAAGAGCTCAGTGCGGCCAGCGCATCAAATTCTCACCCCGGTTTTTGAGAATGAGCCCCAACATCTCTGGACATGTCCTTTGGGACAGGTTCCAAAACGTGAGGAGTTGTTGATTTCAGAAGGTGTGTCGACGGACCCAACCGGCTTGGCCCCTTGCCAGGGCCATGTGAGAAAGGTTCCCGAACCTTCACGTAACCATGCTGTGCTTTAGACTCCTCCCCTCCCACTAGGTGTAGTTGGGGCCCTAAGATCCTGCACCCGCAATGTAACCCAGGGGTAATGCCCTCCGCAAGGATGTCTGTCAAATCTTTCGTGGCCCGAAGAGGATTGAGACTTCCAAAAGGAATCACCAGTTTTGGTGTCCTCCTATTTGTGCATCAACCTAGCTTTCTGGCTTTAGCTTTGGAAACTCTTCGGACACATGTGGGAAGGGTCAAAATGGCCAGCAATTGTAATAGGACTAAGAGGTCCAACTCCTGGTACCCCCCAACAACTGCTCATGTCCGGGTGCTGGTCACATTCCCAAGTTTCAAGAGAGGCATTGGGCAACTTATTTCGCTCAACTTCCTTGTCTCTAGGTTCCTGATCTGGGGACCCGAAATGGGAAAGCCCTGTCCGTCCACACCAAGTCAGCCTTTTGGGTACACGCAGACTGACACGGCACCCGAAAAAGTCGGCCAAAAGGAGAATCAACGATGCTAACTTTCGGGAGTGAAGATGACATGGTGACCTGATGCAACTCGCTTGACTGCAGCTCAGGTGTTGGTCGACGGCTGCGAATTCCAGGCTCGCCGTGAGGGACTACTCTCGTGCAGCTTTGCTTGTGCCGGGGGCCTCGAAAGAATATATTGAGGGTTCTCAAGTTATGAACCACCATTTATTCTTGAGATGTTGCTTCAATGGACCCAGAAGCATGCAACCCAAAAATTACAATGTTCGTAGAGGAATCTCTTTTCGTAGATCAAGGATCTAGTGCGGGATCGAGCCACCCAATCTGAAGCACCTACCAAGATTCCGGATCCTTTTGCTTTTAGAGAGTTTGGTCAACAACAAGTTTGGATTTGTTTGGCTCGAAAGTGAGAGGCCAACTGCCGCAGGTGGCTGTCCAGCTGCCGCAGACGCTCTTTCCAGCGGTGTCCAACTGTCGGTCTCCTGCGGAGTGCCTTGGCTTTTGTTCGACCTGCGAATTCGCATAGATTTGTTTAGGTTTGATATGTTTTCTCAGTTGTTCAGTGGCACCCTTTTTCCCCTTTTTGTTGGTGGCTGCCCCACTAAATGGTCTTCCCCAAAAAGGGTTCCCTTTTTTTTCAGGGTCACTGAACAACTGAGTTTTACTCCGCTGCGCATGAGCACAAAAAGCCAAAAACCCAGCCTTGGAGGAATCGTCTTTGGGCTCCTCTTTTGGGTTGCATGTTGACTTGCAAAAGGGTTTTGGGGTTGGTTTCTTTAACAATTCCAATGGGCGTCAACCATCTGTGGTGAACAACTTTCACCCTTCAGGCTTGCAGCGAGGGCGTTTTTTGGACCAGAAAACTGAGCAAGCCTGGCAAAAGGTTGAGCCTTATGGCTAAACTGGGTGCTAAACAACACACTTGTTTGATAGTCCCTCAGGGAAATCAAAAGGGTAGTTGCCATGTTGGCGGCAAAATGAGACACATGGTCGTGAAAGGGACAGCCATAAAGTTTGCAGTGACTTTTGCATGTTTCAAGAGGCTGCCCCACGTCATTTGGTGGAGGGTGCTGTGTTTCCTGTTGCGACCAGGAGCAAAGTAAAACTGGAAAAATGCAAAGCGAGGATGGCACGTGCTTTTGTTGGCAAAGTCATGTCCAAATTGGTCCAGCGTGTGTCCAGGCGTTTGATGTGATGAATTGAAAGGTGGCCATTTGACGCAGAAATGCGTGCTGGCTAGTTCAGAAAGGGTGTTAGGGCTAAGGATAGTAAGGACTAGATACAGCCTTACAACCATTTGTGTGTAACCAACAATCACATGCGCATCGAATATGTGATATGCATATAGTTTATCATATGTATGCATGTATTATATATGCGTGTGTGTGTGTGTATCATATAGATACTTTTTCTTGCACATGTAATATTGAAGTGACATATGTATCATCAGCTTAGTCATACCAAAAGTCCTTCGGTTTCGAGCCCCCCTACTCCGCCGTCCTTTGCTGAAAGTTTCCCGCTGAGCGGACGGCCCCAGAGTCGGTATCAAAAGGCGGGTCATTGTGTGAAAGATGAGAGTTTGGTTTCCTGATCATTTCAATCCCAACCGTTGTGGTACCCTCCTGCAGATTACCCAACAAAGAAGCCATCATATTTAGAGGGGGCGATGATCTTTTGAAGGCTCCCTTGTGGGGTCCATGCCAATTTGGAGGGGCGTGACTGGGACAATCCTTGCTCCGTTTGGCATATGGGGGCATCAACCCGGCCATGTGTCATGTCTGCTTTTCTATTCTTCGACCAGCCTGTGCCTCACAACTAGTGAACCTGTTCCTGTGGTGCCAAGGTTTTTGCCACGGTCATTGGCTTTGGGCCTTCATCAGGGGGCTAAGCCTCATCCCCCGACCGACTAAGGTACCACATCAACTTCCTTGGCGAAGTTGCGCGGGATCCGCAAAAGAGGGGCTTCCAGACAGGGCTCTTGTCTCAGAAGGTCGCGGCGGTCAGAATTTCTCACAACAGACCCAACTTGTCTTAACTGCTATTGGGTTGGATCTTTAGACTTGAACTTTTGGGGAACTCAAGGGGTTTCCACTAAACCCCCAAAAGTTAAGTTTTTGCAGGGGGGTCAACAGCAACCAAGTTGTGGTCACGCAAGGTCATGTTTGATTTTTTCGAAGGTCTTGGTCAGCTCCTTCCGTAAGGAATCCGTCAGAGTCATACTGTGGATGGACGAAATCCTGCACCAATTTGCAACCATGGTAAACCACCATTGTTTGTTGGTATTTACAAGGGAATCATCATTCCAGGGTTTCTTAGGTGGTGCGGGATTTCGTCCATCCACAGTAGCATGTAGCCAACCTTTGCCCAATGCGTCCAGACGTTTCATGTTGACAGGAATGGACAAGAAGCCACTGTAACTTTGTCTGTGGCGCCCATAGGGACCGCGGTAACGGCAAAGCAACATGTCTTTTCCTGGTTTCAGGATCAGACACTTTGAGACTCTGACCCTAAGCCTTGACAAGCAACACATGGAACAGGGAATCAAGCCCTGCCGCACGACATGAACACGTTGGCCTCTTCCCGTGACACACAATTGACTGGAAAACCCGACGGCTTTGCTCGAGGGGAAATAAGAGCTCGTCTAAGCTCGTCTAAAGGCTTCACGAATCGCTTTGAACCTACGAGTTGTAGGGGTTGAAACGAGTTTGCCGTCAGTTGGCCAGTTCCTGAGGACACCCTCTCTTTAAAAGTGACGAAGCCTTCGGGAATCAACCCCTTGGTTGGTCGCAAGGGTTATTGTTGCCATGAGATCGCCGCTATTGTTTGACTTCGCCCAAACCAAGTGGAATGGGGTGATATGTTCCGCGCCACGCCCTGAGTTGTGAGTGGTGAATGGGCCGCATGCGCCAAAGCTAAGCGAGCCCTGCGCCAGGGAGTCACTGGAGGCCACTTGATTGAAGACGAGATAATGAAGGGCAAGATAGTGCCAATATACATATATATATATAGACATGTTCACACATACGTGTACTCTCTCGAATTATTTAAGCGTTTATGTGAAGTATACCGAAGTATATAGGTATAAGTATGTATATATATATATGTCCACGGAGATGTACATAATGCTGTTGGGCAGTATCCTCTTCAACTATTGCCATGATTGGACCTTCCATCCCTGCAGGAGTTTGCCGTCGCATTTCCAAGTCAGTGGCATGCTGCATCTTGCGCCGCAGAGATTTCATGAGTCAAGTTGGGGTTCGGCACATGGGGCACGAGCCGTGTTTTTCCATCACAAGCCAACATCACACTGAGCAGCCCATGTCCATTAGGATATCCGAAAATAGTGACCGCTCATACGGGAGTATCAGGTTATCAGTTGTGGCCAACAGGTCGGATTTTATGGGTGTCACCACTCAATCGATTTCTTGGGAAAATAGGGTGGTTACCTGCACATGGAGGACCAGCATTTTCATGCCACATGCTTGTGGGTCCCCTTCGGAAATTTTGGAAGACCAAAGTCCAGGACGAGCTGGTGGATGACCATGTTTTCTAGGGGTTGATTCCCCATTCTTTTCAACCATCGTTCTTTCCAAAACCGCATGGGGAAGGTACCCCTAGCTGTTCAAGCCATCAGTTTTCACACCAAATCATCCAAAGCTTCG